AAAAATTAAAAAACTTGAGGGACCATTTCGATACTTAAATGTAAAAAAAATCAGGATCCAAAGCCGTTATTCCTCCAACCTTCATTAAATATGTTCTTCTCTAGGAGTAAAAATTGACAAGACGGGACCAAATTTTGCGATGGAAATTGAACATACATGGAACCCCACATGGTCAGTGGCCATAAGAAGGCGTCCCACAGAACGTTTTCCATTGTTAGGCACTAAATCTTGGACACTAAATATTCTGATTCTTGTGGTGAATGTTCCAAGCGAATTATGCATCTCAGACCCTGGCCAGACAGCATGTACTCGAATGCTTTGTTGATCCCGAGAAAGGCACAGAGTGAGTTATAAGCTTTTCCAGTCTCTTCAGTTCTAGCTCCTATAGGAATCAAGAAAGATTGAAGTGATTAATTATTTCTGGGATTTTGAATGTTTGGGAAGCATGGGCTAAACATGATTAAGGAAAGAGAGATTTTATGAACTCACCTTGTTCATGTATTGCTCGACAAAATTGGGAATATCAGTGCGAGGTCTATTGTTGCCAAAGAAGGTACCGTTGAGGTTCCTCTCATTTAGGAAATCCACTGGATTTGTTTTGAATGCAACATCTCTGCTCGAGACACCAACAAGCACTGCGACACCCTAACCCTGAGGAGCACCAAAACATAGTTACAAAAGGCAATATTAAGGAAGATGTACCTTTTCTTTTAAGTAGATATAAAACTTACATCATGGGCACATTCAAATGCTGAAATCATAGCCTGAATGCTTCCGGTGCATTCAACACTGCAATCCACTCCTCCATTGGTCATCTCACCCTGGTTATAAAACAGCATATGTTAATTGCAGCAAATTAGGCAGCTATATATGCATGTTTTATGCAAATTGATTTCAGTGATTGTCTGAACAGTAAGTCATAGTACTGGAAATTAAACATTTAATCATCCTTAGTACTTATCCAGTTGGATCAAGAATAAGAAAGCATCTCTTATGACATTTGCCACTAAAACAACTGCTTGGAGAATGGAGAACATAAGAGTAGCTGAAATGGGGCAGAACCCACCTGTTGAACTGGCTTGTCATGATCCTTAGGATTCACAAATTCTGTCACACCATACTTCTTGGCTGCCAACAGATTTAACAAATGTGAAACGATACACATTAGTAACAAACTAACAATCAATTTTAAATCAAGATTTGTCGTTGTACATTTATGTATATCAGACCCAAGTTAGCATTACCTTCCTCAAATCTGCTGGAATTCAAATCAACACCAATGATCCTTAAAGCCCCTGAAACCTGTGCTCTTCAGCAGCCTAAAAAACACAAGAGAATTCAGATTTATTAAGATTAAGTTGCACACTCAAGAGAAAAGACAGTTGCAATAACAATTGCTTACAGTAAGGCCAATGGCATCCGGTCCAAATATGGCAACTGAATGACCCTTTTTGGGTTTAGCAACATTCACAGTGGCACCAAAACCTTCACGTAATGAAAAAATGGTTAGTTAAATGGAAATTTTATATTCCCCATGTTATCATTTATCTGCTAACAGGAAATATTGTAAACTGATAAGCATTATCCCCTAACCTGTGGATATCCCCAACTTAGAACACAAACTTTGTCAAGAGGGGCAGCTGGATTAATCTTTGCAACGTGTCCAACATGGATAACAGTGAATTCACTGAAAGTTGAAGTGCCAAGAAAGTGATAGATTGGCTGCCCATTGATAGAGAACCTTGATTTTCCATCATTAATCACGCAACCCTTATCAGTATTGATCCTAAGGAGATCACACAGGTTGTTTTTTATTCTGAGTTGCAGTGGGGGCACTCCTTGCATTCCCCTGTGAATATAGGGAGAACATGATCACCTGGCTGGAGATCAGTTACACCCTCACCCACACTCTCCACAATCCTATATATGAACCAGAGAATTAAAATAAACAAAATAAGGAATAAGAATTTGAATAATTAAACCAGATGCAGCAAAGTTAATTAGTAAAATATTTATTCAGTCGATTATAACATAACAGACTAATATGGACATAACTTAGACACACCTATGCAATTTCTATGTTTGTATGAGAGGCATTTTAGATATGTACATACCCTCCAGCTTCATGACCAAGAATACGAGGAAACAGGGGGTTTTTGTGCCTGCAAACCAAAGAAATCATGTCAGTGCTGATTGCAACTGAAGAGAGACACAACTCGAGGGTATAATTTGACCAAACACAACTCGAGGGTGTAATTTGACCAAACACAGAACAGAAATAACAAATATTAGAATCAACACTAATCAAAGAATTAAAGGTATAGAAAATTTATCCTCAAATTAGATAGAAATGCCATAAAAACGAGAATCAACATTTCTGAACGTTCTACAATCAAAAATATAAAAATTGATATTTATATTAGTATAGGTGCTAAATAGATAAATTCAATTAATTAATTGATAAATTAAATGTTAATTTTTATTTTTTAATAAAAATTTATGATAAAAAAGTATATTTATAATACCTTTAACAAGTTAGAAAAACCCATAATTAATTAATATTTATTTAAAAAGAAGACAAAGAAAATATTGAAATTCGAAAAGAAAAATTCAAGAATAGGGACTCCAATGAAGAAATTATGAGATGAGGGGTTTAAATTGCAAAAAAGAACAAGGGGGCTATTCAAACCAACCTGAGCATTTTGGGGTACAGGTCGAATATAAAATATACATGGTACCTGATTTAAAAATTTTCAGGTATAATATTTTAGATTTGATACTTACCCCAATACTTATATTTGGTATTTAACTTAATATATATTAGGTAATTTGTGGATATATATTTATGTACTTGTTGAATAATATTTTCTTTTAAATTTCTTTTCAAATTAAAATTTAATTAAATATTATTTATTTTCAATTTACACTTAACTAAAACTAATAAAATTTTAATAAAATATTATTTATTACAATTTAAACTTAAATATAATTTAAAATAATAATAGAAAACTAAAATTCGATTTCATATCCAAAACTTAAATCTATATCCTATTAAAAAACTAAACTAGATTAAAGAGTTAACAATAAAGAATGTAAAATATGTACCAAAAAAATAAAATATAAAAAAAATTAAACAATAGAATAAAAATCCTTTAAAGAAAA